CCCCCCCCCCCCCCCCACCCCTCCCTACTCGCTCGCATGTGCCAAATTGCCACCCACCCACACTCCTCGCACCCCACCCACCTTCACCATCCCCCATGTCTGCCTCACCCCCATCCTACACCAGCCTCTCCCCACTTTCCACATCCGGCAATTCTCCAGCACACGCACCGTCTCTCCTCGACCTCCCGCTGCCATGCCTGCAGGCCATCGGCGCTGCCCTCGCCCCGTCGCATCTCCTTGCCCTCGCCTCCGTCTCGGTCGCTGCTCGAGCTACCTGGGCTAATGATCCGCTCCTCTGGCTCCCACATCTCACAAGCGTGTGGCAGTCAGCTCGTCCGACTCTCCCGCAGCCATCGGTCATCGCTGCTGCTGTCGATGCTCTGGCAGAGCGGGCAACCGCATCGACAATGCCGCTCATCTCGCTCGCAGGACGTTGGGCCCGCTGGTCGGCCCGCGCTGCTGTGGGAACAAGCGATGCGGCTGCAATCGCGTTCAAGTCATCGTCTCTGCTCTCGGCTGCCAATGCTGTCTCGCTTGCCGCCATCCTTCCACAAGCATTCTTTGCCTCGGCTGAAAACGAGGCTGTCCTCATGCGCGAGGACGGCCTCGACTGGGCTCCCATCTTCAGCCCCGACTCGCTTGGCTACTCGCTCCTCTCGCTCAGGCTTGCTCTCCGCGAGGTCAAGAGCCCGACTTTAATTATCATCGAAGATGATCGTGGCTGGATCTTTGGATGCCTCACAGCATCGCCCTGGGTCCTCTCATCACGGCCTGGCGAGTTCTACGGCTCACGCTTTGCCGCTATCTTCAACCTGTGGCCTCTTGGCGAGATCTGCCCCACATCGCCCAACGTCCCGCCCTCGCGCCGCAACATCCAGCATCTCACTTCCTCTCTGCTAGCTGTGGGTGGCTCTACAGACTTTCCGGGCCTCTCACTCGACGACGCTCTCGAGTCAGGCACGTCGTGCCCGACGGTCGTCTTCCGCTCCCCGGCCCTCGCCGCCTCGCTCGATTACTCAGTCGTCCGTCTCGAAGCATGGGCTCTTGTCCAGCACATCGATGACAGCACACCGCCCCTACAGTTGGACCTTGCTGCTACTCGACTCATTCATCACGACGTTCTCTCTGCCTTTGACTTTACCTTCTCTACCGTCGAGGCTGACTCGGACGGCTCCGACGGCTTCGAGCTCATCGACCCGATCCTCGTCCCTGCAGACGCTGCCAGCCTCGTTGGCCCTAGCTCTGCACTCGACGGTGCCACCCAAGCCGTCCTCGACCTGGCCGACATCGGCTCATTCAACCGCAACCACTTTGGCTGAACCTGTCCCCACATCGCAAACTGCAACACAGTCGAGGTGGTACAACGTATTGCTTTGATTCTACCGCTACTCACGCCACTATTTCGCGTGAATAGTCTGTCGAGAAGTGACAATCCAGCATCGGAGGTGGCATCACTGCTTCCACAACAGGCCGAGTTGGACATGCAGCTCAGCAGGTGGTTTATTCTCAGCCATCGCGACTGCGGCTGCCACGACGAGAATGACTCTTGCTTCTGGCATCATTTCCGCGCCCGCGCCCACGCCCGCGCCCGCGCCCGCGCCCGCGACTTTGCCCACGCCCTTGTCCGCGTCCCTTACCGCGCCCGCGTCCACGGGACTTGGCCTCCTCGCTCTGGCTGTGCACACGAGCCCTACCCTTACCCTTGCCCTTGCCCTTGCCCTTGCCCTTGCCGCGACTCGCGCCCGTTGATGGCGTCGCGGTGGACGCTTCGGCGGCAGCAGCCTCGGCAGCAGCGACAGCGGCATCGACGAGCGCGACCTCGCGCTGGATCTCCTCATCTTCTAGAATTTGCGCGAGCGAGAGCGGCGACGACGACTTGACCATGCCCCACGCCGAGGTGGCAAACCCGCCGCCACCCGCCTTTTCAGCCGCCTGCTCGGCCTGAATCTCGGCCAGTGAGCGCGACGGTGAGGTGGTCGGCGGCGATGCCGCCAGGCCGCCCCATTTCGGCTTGCGACGGCTGCCGCGGATAGGAACGGGACTTGATGCCTGTGAGGTGTCGGCGGCGGCAAGCGAGGCACGGATGTCGATGTGTGGTGACGATGGCGACGCCGCCGACCAGCCTCTTGGCGGAGATACAGCAGCCGCGATCGACGCAGCCTCGGAAGCTCGCAGTGAGGCTCGTAGGTCAAGCGCCGGAGGTGTGCTTGCCGCCGGCGGGCTACTGGCAGACGGAGATCCCCAGGCCGACGCCGTGGATGACTCCTGAATCCCTACTGCCACCGGCGCAGACGGAATGCGCGCGCGGAGCTCCTTGCGACGCTTCCGCAGTGCACGCAGGTTGCTTGTCCGCTCAAGGTCGCTGTGCGAGATGCGCGCGCCAGAGCGGGCACGCTCATCCAACGTCCGCACAATAGCAATCTCGCGTTCTAGCTCACCAAGCTCCAGATGAATGTTGGAGACTACCAGCTCTGCATCGCGTTCAGGCCCGCTCTCATCCCAAGACACAAAGACATACTCGTCCCAGTCGCGGGCATCTGCCGCAGCAGCCGCAGCTTCGGCCGCAGCAGCAGCTTCGCGAGCCGCCGCCGCTGCAAGTGCAGCCTTACGATCCGCCTCCGCTTCCTCGTGGATTTTCAAAAGCGCGTCCCGACGCGCCGATAGCTGCGGACGAGCAACCGTAAGCCGCCATGCCTGTTCCCATCGAGCCTGATACACTTGGTCGAGTGCGTCAAAGGCCTTGCGCGACCACGCCAGTGCCTCGAGACTGTCAACCAGAACCATAAGCGCCGCGTCGACGAGAACGTAGCTGCCCAGCGGCGCAGCAGTATCGAGTGGGCTCACAAACGGCGCTATCGTGTTGAGCACCGCAATTGCGTTGTCAAGATCGAGCCACCACACCGCCGCCGCCTCGCAGAGAGCCAGCAGCGGCTGGGCCATGTACTCGTGTGCGATGGCGTACAAGTCGAGCACCTCGCCGAGCTCGAGCTTGTGGCTGGCCAAGCTCTTCACCCGCCCGGTCCACAGGTACTCGACAAAGGCACGGACAGTGTCCGGCTGATGGAACGACATGTCCACCTCCCGCCTGAGCCCCTCCATCATGGGCAGCGTGAGCATGGCACGGAATGGCACCGAGCGCGCTGCCAAGACCGATGCGTCGACACTGAGCGTCTCACCATCAGCAAGCACAAGCCGGGTGTTGCCCTCGGGAGAGCGATGCCAGGCTGCAGCAAGCTGCCGCTGAAGCGTGGCTCCAGCCTCGCTCCTGGAAGCCGCAGCAATGGCCGGTGAGTCCTCGTTGCATGTGATCCCGTTGGGATAGACTGAGATCAGGGTCGACCTCAGCGAGTGCAGATCGAGGCGTGTCGCCATGGTCCGTAGCGCCATCATCGCCTCGGGCTCAATGCTCTCGGGTAGGACGGCGCCGTAGACAAAGGCCAGGAGCTGGCGGGCAGTGGCCTTGGGCACTGTTGCGAGCGCACGCGGCTTGCTCGCTAGAGCAGGAGCGCGGAGCGCAACAAGCCACGAGCAGGCTGGCAGGACGCCGTCGGCAGTGTCAAGGTTCAAATCCGGAAACTCGGGACGATCCACGGCCATGCTCGCCAGATCAGCCTGCAGCGCACCCTGCGCCTCACCCTCGGCCGAGTCGATCGAGACTGGCGCAAGCGGGGTGTGCAGCGCAAGGACTGCAGAGTCGGAGACGGCAACGGCAGACGCATGGCGGATCCGTGCAACCCGAATCGGCGACGTCAGATCAAGCCTGCTGTTGAGGAGCCGCGGCAACTTGCCAACACCATACAGCGGTGGCTGTTTGTCGCTGAGGAGCGACCATTCAAACAAGAGTCCGCTCTCGGAGACGACAGCGACGGTACCTGTAGCCGAGAGCCCCACCGAACGCAGTGGCGCACCAAAGCATGCAGGCCATGGATACACGTATGTACGATGGCGAGAGCCGCCGACAGCAAAGTTTCGGGTCAGCTGCGCCGACGACGTGACCGCACGATGGCGAGTGGCACTGTCGTCCGACGCGCCCTGCCTGCGCCGCTTGGACTTTTTGGCTGCCGCCGTCAACAGCGCAAACGCGCCTGTGTGGACAAAGATGGCCAGCGAGCCCGACGAGGTGATGACAGCGGTGGCAAACGGAGCCACCGCCAGCTCGATAAAGGTAAGTGCCGGTAGACTGGCAAGAGTAAAGTCGTCAGCGTCGTCAGCTGCACCCGCCGAAGAGGTCTCGGCGCGGAAGAGCGCCTCGCGGGCACCGCGGGAAAGCGAGAGACGCCGCCTCCGGTCGTTAAGGCCAAAGATGACCAGCGTGCCGCCATCGTCGAGCAGCGCAATGTGAAAGGCCGAGGTGACGACGGCGACAGCCGCAGAGTGAGATCCGAGCATAAGTGCGGTGGGGACATGGCTGGCAACAACACCCGCGCTTCGGTCGGCGATCTGGCCGTAGTCATTAGCACCAAAGGCGAGGACCTGGCCATCGGTGGTAAGGATGACGGAGACAGCAGAGCCGGCAGCGATGTCGGCAACGGCGAGTCCATCCGGCAGCGTCACCGGCAGCGGCTCCAATAACACATCCACCTCGTCCGACGGCTGGCCGAGCTGACCCTGGGCATTCGAGCCAACCGCGTAAACGCTTCCAGCCTCTGTGAGAACAAGCATGTGGGCGGCGCCGAGTGCAACCTTGGCCACAGCACCAATGGCCGGCAGGGCGCGAGTCGGCGTCAGCGCCGACGTCACGCCCTTGCCGAGGCCGAGCTCGCCCCGCGATCCACGGCCCCACACAAAAAGCTGTCCAGAGTCTGAGACTGCAGCCGCCATTCGCGATGATGCTGCCACCTGGGCAATCGAGCCCGCGTGCCGCAGCGCAGCCACGCCGCGGAGCGCCCACTGGGTCGAGTCGCTCCCGCTTGCATGCAGAAAGGCCGGACCGTAGCCAGCTGACGCAACACGCACTGGCCAGTCAGCTCCACCTGATGCTGATCCGTCGTCCCCGGACCATGCACCAGCCAGAGCGAGTGGCATCGGCCTCGCCGGATGAACCAGAGCAGCCTCCACGAGCTCCAGCGATCCGGAGCACAGTGCCATAGTCATGGCCAGTTCAGCATCGTCCCCATCCAGAGCAGCAATCTCATCCACCAAAGCCTCTCCTGTCGCTATTCGTCCTGTTCTCACCTCAGCATACCATAATGACGGGTACCTCGTGAGCAGATCATCATCCCCCCCTCCCTCCCCCCTCCCCCCTGCCGAACACATTCGAAGTCGCTCTCCGTCAGCCGAGAGCCAGCGGGGCCCCCTCCCCAGCTACATACACCACACACCACGAGCACACCACATGCACATCGTCCTTTCATCCTAGTCTTGAGCACGTACGAAGTATCATGAGGTGGTCGGTGGCGGGAAATGGGTCGCGCTTGCTTGACAAGTGGCTTGCTCTAAGCTTGTGCTCGAGTCACTACTGAGTCGTCGCAGAGGACGACGCGAGCTAGGTGGGACACCGCTTGCGAGGGGGAGAGGAGAGGAAGATCATTGTGTTTGATGATCATTGAAGAGGGGAAAAGGAAGGGGGGAGGGGGGATATGGTCAGGCCTCCCGAACAGCATTCATTGGGAGACGGCGTGATCTGCTTCTAGACTCGATAGATGCAAGAGCGAGTAGAGCAGATGGCGGACATAGCTACAACTCGTCATGAGTGTAGATGACGCCGGGAATCGAGGCCGAGAGATCGCCGTCGTACGACGCGAGATCGGCGGAGCAAGCGGCTGGTGTGCGGAGGACAGCGCGGTAGGTGCACTTTTCCGGCTCGGAGACGGCGGAGAGCTCCTCGACTGCGCCGCACTCGAGTGAGACAGTCATCGACCGCTGCGGGCCATTGTAGCACGACTGACCGTTGCGAAACGCCATGAGGCTGTAGCCGCGCCCGACCCAGGTCTCAAACTTGCCCAGGTTGGTGCGGATGCCGGAGCCTGACGCCGATCCCTGCTCGGCCTTGTCGAACGGACACACGGTGTACTCGTACTCGCGGGTCTTGGTTGAGAAGCACTTGCCGACAAGGGCATAGAACGCAGCGTCGGCACCAAGATCAAGTGTTGCCAGCGGCTTGGCCTCCCGCTCGCGCTTTTCATACTCAGCAAGCCGCGCAGCAATGGTCTCGCGCTCAGCGACCAACAGGTCCAGCGGCTCGGGCTCGCGCGCCACAAAGATGTTGGCCAGCGGCGCTAGCGGCGTGCCTGCCAGCCACTGTGACCAAGACATCGTCGGACTTGCCGACTCACCCTCGAACATCTCGATGTCGTCGGCATCGGAGCTCTCATCTGACGGCTGCCCCTCGTCGACCGGCCCAGTGGTCTTGGCGTACTCGATGCGAGCATCGACGTCGGCCAGTGCATCGCGGAGCGCCGGAACCTCAACAGTAGCGTTAGCATAGGCGGCTTTGGCAGCAGCAACGGCCTTGCTTCCCTCTGCGGCATACAAAGCGCGTGCCTTGGCCCCTGCGACCAGCCGCTCATTGACGGCGAGCCGCAGAGCGGCGGCGGCCGACGCAGCGGCGGCACACGTGTTCGGACAACCCTCGGGCAAGGCATGCGGGAGCTTGGCACGGTCAGCCTGTGTCAGGCTAGCCTCATCCGAGCCATCGCAGCAGTCGCACACACCATCGGCCACAAACTCGGTGGGGATGGCGAGAGTAACGTGGCCGTCGTTGGCGCAGACAAAGTAGTGATCGGGCGCAGGAAGTCCATCGCTTCCATCTCCAACAGCAAACTCATCAGCTTGAGGAACCTCCACCCGACCAGCACACGCCGATGTCTGTCTCTCATCTGACCCATCCCGACAATCGCAATAGTCATCATTCTCCACTCGGCCGGCCACAACCTGACCATCAGCACAACTCCCAGCACCATGCCCAGCCGCCACAACTCCTCCAGGGCCTACCAGAACAACCACTACCACCAGAGCCACCAAACCCAGACCAGTAGTCCACCACACAGCACCGGTCCTTGCCATCAACTTTTCAGTCTCGTCAGACAAGTATACCCACAACACAAGCTGCTGACATAAGCTCGCCCTCCAGGGGGGAGGGGGGGGGGGACGGGGAGCAACCGGTGGCACTCGGTCGTGTCACGTTCCCTCGCAAGTCGCCTTCGATGACAGGCCCCCCCCCTCCCCCCCCCCCCCCCGAAGACGGAACTGGGAGAAGTACAGTGAGGCTAGAAGGAGTACACCTGACGACTTGAAGGCAGAGAGAAAGAGTATAACCAAGGCCATCAAGTAGCTATGTCACTTGTTGTCAAGACTGTATTCGCAGCGGTCTTTGCTGTGGCTGTCATGGGCTACCTCCGCCTGAAGCCGGCCAACCACCTCGCACCTTTGTCGGACATCTCACCAGAGTACCGTGGCTATCCATCTGGGGAATGGCGACGGAACAAGGCTGGACTGTGGATGTACTCGGAGACCTTTGATGCCAAGGCTACTGGTTCTGATGGCCAATCTCCCCCTCGTGCTCATCTTCTCTTCATCCATGGCTACGCCCAGCATGCGGGCATGTTTGCTGACCTCGTCGACGACCTCACAGCTGCTGGTATCACCGTTACCGTCATGGATCTGCAGGGCCACGGCTGGTCCGAGGGCGACAGGAACTATGTGCGTGACTTTAACGACCATGTTCAGGACGTACTCGACCAGATCACCCTCATCAACCGTGCCAAGGCAGAGTCCACACCGTTGTTCATCATGGGCCACTCGATGGGCGGCCTCATCGCCGTCAACATCGGCCTCCGCAAGCCCAAGGCGGTCAAGGGCATGGTGCTCTCAGCTCCGGCCATGGCCATCGATCCGGAGATCAACACGACGACGACTCGGACCATGGCACTGTTCTTCTCGACCCACCTCCCGCATATGCCCATCGCCGGGCCCAAGATCCAAGGTGCGTACTCAGACCCGGCTCGTGTTGCTGCCGCCATTGCCGACAAGCGATCATGCCTCGGCCAGTGCTGGACTCCTGCCCGCACTGCCGCCGAGATCCTGGGTAACATTGACGACGTCCGCGCCGTCCTCCCGCGCCTCAAGGTCCCGTTCATTGTCCTCCAGGGAACCAAGGATGTCTTTGCCACCCCTAACGGCGCCGACTATCTCTATGCTCACGCCGGTTCCACTGACAAGACCATCAAGGTCTACGAGGGCTTCCGCCACGAGCTCATCCACGAGCCTGATGGTGGCAAGGTTGTGACCGACATCATCAACTGGATCACCGACCGCAGCTAAGAGCACAGTAGCCGACTAAATCCAACCCCAACCCCACCCTTAACTGTAACCCCCGATACACTCGATTACTTGCGCCCTTGCCTTCTCCCCCCCCCCCCCCCCCCGCTCTCCCCCCGCCAACACGCACGAGCCACCCGGCCGAACACCTCCCCCCCTCTCCCCAGCACACACAGACACAGACACACTTGACTCCTCCACCCCCACCACCCACCACCCACCTCATCCACGCTCTCCCTCACCTTCCCCTCCCCCTCTACCATGGCAGTTCAGTTCTACCCGCTCCGGCTGGTTGTGGAGGCATCGTTCTGGTATGCGCTTGCGGCGGAGAAGATCGACCGACTGCAGCTGGCGACGGAACCTGTTCCTGTGGCGGCACGGTTCTCTACGGGAGCTAAGGCACCTGTTGATGGAAGACTGTTTCTCTCTGGGGACTCTCTTCAAGATCCGCTTCCTCCTCGTCCTCATCATCATCATGTTCATGGTGCTCTGACTCTGGTCAACACGGCTGCCGACTTTAAGGCCCTCGACAAGAAGTCCCTCTTTGATGCTGCTGCGGCCCAGCTGTGGGCTGACATTGCGTCCGGCGCATGGCTTGATGCCCCTGAGCTCCTCCTTCCCTTTCTTGTCCTCACCTATGCTGATCTCAAGAAGCACATCTTTCGCTACCAGGCTGCCTTTCCGGCCATCAAGCTCTCCCCGGCGGTCCAGAGCCCGGCTCCGGCGTCGCTGCTTGTGCTGGACGATGGCGGCAAGGCACTGGCTGCCGCAGTCGACGCAAAGTTTGGCACAGACTCACGCCCGCTGGTCTGGCTCGTCCGTCTTTCACCTGGATGTGAGCCTGCGGTGGAGGAAGTTTCCGAGTGGGCCGCGTTCTGGGCAGCCGATCCCGAGACGGCGCCGCTGATTGCGGTGGCAGATCCGGTCTCGTCGCCGGACCATCCGGGCTGGGCACTCCGCAACGTGGCGGCAGCGGTAGCGACAACCTTTGGTCTCTCGACCTTTACGCTCCTTGCCTATCGCGAGAGTCTTGCCGCAGCCGACGCTGACGCGCCTCTGGCGTCATCGCTGGTGGTTCCGGTCGAGGTTGCGCCCGAAGCGCTGGCAGCGGCTGCGGAGAACAGGCCCTCTGCCGTCGGGTGGGAGAAGAACAAGAGAGGCAAGATCGGGAGCAAGGTTGTGGACCTCGGCGCATCGATGGATCCCAACCAGCTGATGGAGACCTCGGTGGACCTCAACCTCAAGCTCATGCGCTGGCGGCTGCTCCCGGAGCTGGACCTCGACACGATTGCCGGGACGCGTGTGCTCCTTCTTGGGGCAGGAACACTCGGGTGCAACGTGGCGCGCGCGCTCATGGGCTGGGGCGTCCGCACGCTCACCTTTGTCGACTCGGGCAAGGTCTCGTACTCGAATCCAGTCCGGCAGTCCCTTTTCACCTTTGCCGACGCCGCCGCCGGCGAGTACAAGGCGCCTGCGGCCGCGGCTGCCATTCGGGCCATTTTCCCGGGCATGAACGCGTCCGGCCACGTGCTCTCGATCCCGATGCCCGGGCACGGGGCATCTGGCGATGCGCAGGCAAGTGTGGACAAGCTCGTTGAGCTGTACAACGAAGCCGATGCGGTCTTTCTCCTCACCGACACCCGTGAGTCGCGGTGGCTTCCGACGCTTCTGGGCGCCGTCATGGACAAGCTGGTCATCAACACGGCCATGGGCTTTGACACTTTTGTTTGCATGCGGCACGGGCCGACGGATGCGGCGTCACGGGCTGCGGGTTCGCGGCTCGGCTGCTACTTTTGCACAGACATTGTAGCGCCGACCGACTCGCTGACACAGCGCTCGCTCGACCAAGCGTGTACCGTTGTGCGGCCGGGCAACTCGTACCTTTCGTCGTCGCTGGCGGTCGAGCTCCTCATCGCGCTGCTTCATCACCCGGCCCGCCACCACGCGCCGGCCGACGAGCCTGTCGCTGTCGGCGTGCCGACGGAACACCGGCTCGGCCTCATTCCCCACCAGATCCGCGGGTTCATGACCCACTACGCCCACAAGCTTGTTGTCGCTCACGCGTACGACAAGTGCACCGCGTGCTCGTCGGCGGTTGTCGACGCCTACGTTGCTGAGGGCTGGGCCTTTGTCGAGCGAGTCCTCACCGATCCTGAAGTTCTGGAGGAGGTCACTGGGCTCGCGGCCATGAAGGCTGAGCTCGAAGCTGGTACTTCATGGGACATTGACGATTTCTCGGACGACGGCAGCGCAGGCGCGTCCGGTGCACCCGGTGGTGGCGACAGGAGCGACGACAGCTTTGAACTCATTTAACCTTAACGAAACGGTAGTTTGGGTACGTTGTCATGCGCCTCGTAGTGAACAACTAAACCGAGCTCTGGACAGCTGATTACTCGATGACGATCTCGCCAATCGGTCGCATGTTGTAGTTGGATGACATGGAGAATCCGTAAGCGCCGGCGCCGGCGATAACCACCACATCGCCGGGCTGCGAGTCTGCCGGCAGCGGGCGGCCGTAGGCAATGGTGTCGCCCGACTCGCAAATGGGGCCGACAACGTTGAAAAAGGCGGCGGGTGGGCGGGCGCCACTTGCGCGCTCGATCGCGGTCAGGTTGACGACGTGGTGGTACGAGGAGTAGAGCATGGGGCGGATGAGAGCGTGCATGCCGGCCGACGTCCCGAGATACCGCACGCCCTCACCCTTGTCCTTCAGTTGGGTCACTGTCGAGACAAGGACGCCAGCCTCAGCGACGTAGTACCGGCCGGGCTCAATGAAGAGCGTGTACTGCGGATGCGCAGCCTTGAACGATGCGAGCGCATCGGAGATGCCGCCCATGTCCAGCGGGCCGACCCAGGGGTGATAGGGGACCGAGAAGCCACCGCCGACGTCAAGAATGGTGGCGTGCGGAAAGTGGTTTGCGGCGGCGGCGGCGAGCGTGGCCGCATTGTCAGCCCATGTTGTTGTGTCGCCGATGCCAGACCCAGTGTGGGTGTGAAGGCCACGGACAGTGATGCCGTGGGCAGCCGCCAGTTCGGCAGCCTCAGCCAACTCGGAGATGAGGACACCAAACTTGGAGTGCTTGCCCGAGGTCTTGACAAAGTCGTGGTGGCCCTTGCCCTCGCCGGTGTCGACGCGGATCATAACGTCAGCGCCAGCAAGCGCAGCGCCCCACTTACGGAGGATAAAGGCGTTGTCGATGGTGAGCAAAAGGCCCGGCGTACCAACGACCGAGACGTAGTCCTCAAGCGGAGCAAAGTTGGGCGTGTACATGATGCGGAAGGGCACGTCGTCATTGTCATGGACACAGGCCAGGTCGGGGAAGAGCTCGAGCACATGAGCAAGCTCACCAGGAGAGACAACCTCAAAGCACACACCCTCATCATACATGAGACGAAGTAGATCCGGATGAGCATTAGCCTTGATGGCGTAGAAGAGACGATCGACGCCAGCCAGAGCCTTAAGCTCACTAACTCTCTCCTTGACGACGGCCTTTGAGTACAGGTAGGTAGCTGGGGTGATGGAGTCAGCCGCAGCAGCCATAACAGCTTGCCTTCCTTCATCGGTCATGTACCACTGTCGATGGGCAAATGCCTCTGCCTTTGCCTCCCTCTCTGCCTTGATGGCCATACACTCTGCCTCTCTCTCGCATCCCTCTCCGCACGCCACCGTGCAGGCCAGCGCCACCGTCACCGTATGGTAGTCCTCGTCAGACAACTCGCCAGCACATCCCACAACCACTCCCTTTCCCTGAGCACCACATGCTTGTGCAAGCATCTCTTCACGGGGGATGCTGCTTGGAATGTTCGTCGTCGTTGCCATGCCGGGGAGGGGAGGGACGAAGGGGGGGGGGGAGAGGGGTGGTCGGAGCCGACGAGTTGTTGGCGCTCTGAATGACCCGGCGGAGGGAGGGAGGGAGGGAGGGGAGGGAGGGAGGAATTGGTCATCGAGTGGGGGGAAAGTGGGGGAGGGGCTGGACATCAGGTGATGGGGGGGTGGGGGGGGGGGTATCGGGGGGGATCGGGGGGGCGGGGGGGAGTATGGAGGGGAAGGGATGAGGGAGGGAGGGAGTGATCGGAGGAAAGGTATGTCTGTGTATATTGAACAAATGTTGAGATCGAGATGAGTGAGTATGCGTGTGTGTGTGTGTGTGTGCATGTATGTCTGTATGTCAACATCAGATCAACTTTGTCCTTATCCCACCCCACCCATGCCACCATCTCTTCCATCGCCTTCCTCTCCAATCTCCACGGGCGGATCTGGTAACTCCAAAACCCGCACCCTCCTGTGTCCGTCCACACGATTTCGAGGACCGGCGCCCGCACTATGATGCTGACCTGACCGG